CGTAAGTGTTTTGCATTTCGTCACACATTTTGTTTGAATACATTTGTGAACAACTATTGAACCGAAAACACGTGTTTTGCCGGAAGTCCACTCATTCACAGCACTAGTCAATCAAAGTGTGGATCAGATAAGTATCGGCCATCAGTTGATCTCAAGAACCAGTGATAATCGCTTTATGACTACATGAGTAATATGGCTGACATTGAATCGATGGTAATATTGGTGTCGATGAAGGCATTGCGTCCCGAAGTGCAGGACTTTTGGGTGACAATCGGCGACGAAGTGACCACTTTTGCTGAGCTTAAGCGCCATATACTCGGTCTGGAACCGGTCGGCGATCGTCCGCACGAAGACATTGGCCTCTATTTGGACAACGGTCTGCTGCGCGACGACAGCACTTCCATCGGTGATGTCCTGCGCGGCAAAGAGCGGCTCGAAGTGCGGGCCATAAGCGATGGCAAGCGGGCGCCCAATCAGCCAATGCGTGCCAAGCGGGCCATCGCCACCATTAAACGGTAAAACTCCTGTGTTTACCACTGATTATCACTTCTAACTGATCCGTGTGTTGTTAGGAAGCAATTGGAGGACATGAAGCGAACCATCGCCGACATGAAACAGCTGTCGTTGTCTACTATTAATGTCGCGCAACAAACGGAAGGCCCGAAAATGTTGGACAATATCGTCCACAAAGACGACCGCAAAGACCAGTTCATAGATGAGCAGTGGTTAGTGATCCCATCGCAGCAATTGTCACCGCATTTGTTCCCATTTCCCGACAGTATTATCATTGACGACACGTCGGACGTGGAGTCCATCGATACAACGCCGACGGCGGACAACATATGGGCCACGAAGAGAGCGGTCGTCAAAAAGAATCTTGGGTTGCGGCCCAACGACCCGAATACTGGCGGTTATATCGACCCGCGAGCGACCAAACCACTGGTGCTTAGCGATCATCCGTTGATTCCCATCGATAGGGGTCCGTATCGGTGCTGTTATTGCGGCAAAATGTTTGACTCCATACCAGTGCTCGACAAACACCACGACATTCACTTCAAGTATTGATTGTTGGATCTGTTCTTCATTTGAATGGTTTTGATAATAATGAATGCCTTTTTGCTTTGATTTAATTTTTTTTGACTATTTTTTCAATATTTTTTTGATTTATTATTGATTGCAATTAATTATAAGAATGTTTTTGTGTTTAAACTAAATGACATTCAATATAATTAAAATATTTATAACTTATATCTTGGGATAAATTTTCAATCTTTTTTTGCTTTAAACTTTTTGCTAAAATTTTGCTTTTTGATGTCTTTTTCTTTTTTTTGTGTTAAATATAAATATGATATGAATTAAAAATTTAATATATTATTATATGTAAGGAATTTTTTTGATTATATTCTTTGATAACTATTTTTTTTGTAATTTTCTGTACTTTATTTTTGCATCTGATTTATGTTTTCCTTATGTTTGGATTTACTATTCAATAAACTGTTTGATTGCATTTAAATTGATGTAAAGATTTAATTAATTTATAATTATGATGGAGAGAGAGAGAGAGAGAGAGAGAGAGAGAGCATTAGTAGTGCATTAGTAGAGCATTACTTATCAAGTTATCATTAATTGAATATGTCTTGCATTTAATTAATTAATTAAATTAAATGAAACCATTGGAGTGTTTTGAGTCAAAATTTAACAAAAATATTTATAATAACATAACAACAACATTTAAAATGCAAAATCTTATTAATTATAAATAATTTTTAAATACCAAACATGTATATTGCATTCTAGCCAAGTGGGAATTTCTCAGTATTGCATTGTGTGGGAGTGTTTGCTTTGAAATTATACACGGGCGCAATTTTGGCAACTAATATAGCTGTTAAGTGGTAGATTGTAACCTTGCTAGGGCATTTATAAAACAGTACATTGCAAATATTATTCAGTGCACATATCTTCATGTCATTATGTAATATAAATTTACTGAGAATTATTGCATAATGATAACTTAAACTTGTTTAATATTGTATAATTGTATAATTTCACTAATTATACAGACTATGTAATTTTAATAATAAATATTATTGTTATAACTTTTATAAATGCTATAAAAATAAATATTATTTATTTAGCAAATAACTAGTTTAACAAATTGTTTTTTGTTCTACACTTATATCAACAGTGCTTTCAATACATACTTATAATATAAACGCGAAAAATAAATATTTGCTACTTATGTTTGGGCTCTTTGTCTGTACTGTATATTGTATTTATTTTATTTTATAAATAATATATATGTGTTATATATTATTAAGTAAACCGCGTTCCAGCAACTTTCCAGCAACTTTATATATATTATAGAGTAACTGGATGTTTATTAATATGTCTATTTGCTTATGAGTGTTGTATTTGTAATTAAAATACACAATTGACTCATACTGCAATATATATGAAAAACATGACTGGTTTCCCTATATATTATATATTAGTACTTATAATGTAAATAATTTATTTAAACATTATAAATAGAGCCAAATGATGTATACTTTTTATCCTATTATTACATGCAATTAACCGTAAAAACATATTACAGAATATTCTGTAATACAGTATATGTGTGTTCAGTATATATAGAGGTTTGAGTGTATTTTATGTGTGTTTAAACGTCGGTGCTATTACAAGTCGGTTTCACAACTAGTTGGGTTGTGTTTATGGTTTATCATGCTCGGATAGTTTGGATTCAATTATTACAATAATACTATATTAATTATTGGTAATTACAAGCTTGATATATATTTTAAAATATACAACATATGGCAATAATTAGTAAGTGAATTATTATAATAAATACATTCTAATTGTTATATTAAATAATAATTTATTCTTAACTAATTGTTTGTTTGTTTCTTAAAGTTATTATTACACTTTTTATAACAACATCACTGATTGGTCAACACATGTGCGGTGTGTGTCCATCAGTGGACACAATAAAGCCGTGTAAATGTCTCATAAAAGCCGGTAATAAAACACATATAGTTTGCGGCGGAAACACAGCGCTAGACCTGAAGAATGTCTTCGAGAGACTGTCCAACGGATCCGCTGATGACAAACACTTTGATTTGTTTGACTTAAAACACAACAAAATCACTGAACTCGCGGACAATACCTTCGCCGACATCTCATTCAATGCCATACATATAGAGGCAAAAGCGTTGACAACTGTCCGCCGGAATGCGTTCGCCGGTCAGAGCGGTGTCCGACGGCTGACCATCACTGAAACGCCGGTCACTGACTCCCAACTGTTCCCCTCAATTGGCGCGATGATAGGGTTGACACATTTGCAGATTGTTGAGACAGAATTGACACAAATTCCGGGCAATTGTTTTGATTTGTTGACGGATTTACGGGAAATTAAATTGAATGAAAATACAGGCTTAACACGGATTAATAGCCGGGCGTTCGTTGGCCTGCCATCGGTGGACACAATCCATTTGGACCTAAACAACATCCGTATTATCGATGATCAGGCATTTGTTTTACATAGAAATGCTAATAATAAGCCATTGGTTATTAATTTAAGCGATAATAGTTTGAGTAAAAAAGACGCGTGGATCGCACCGGGTGCTTTTGATTTAATTGAACGCAATACAACAATATTGTTGTATAGTAATAAGCTAGCGCATTTAAATGAGAAAGTTTACGGGAATTTTTTACGGTATAATCCATTCAATTCCATTGGGTTGGCGACCATAGACTGTACCGACTGTCGCAATGTATGGCTCGTATACCCGAGGGATTTAACTCAACAGATGATGAAAACAACGTGTAGTAATAATAAACATATAAATGACCCAGCTAACTTTGTAAATTGTACAAAGATTGCAGCCACTAAAAATGCACCTAATATTACTGGTGTATTGAAAACAGCTAAACCTACAATTGCTAGTGTAATAACAAATAATGCGATTAATCAAGGTAACAGTGTAAATTTTATTTTGCATAGTTTGTTTGTTTTATTATTATCGTATTGTTTTATTTTATAATAATTTATTTATTGAATAAATTATTTTACTTAATCAAAATTATATTACTGAAATGTTAAAATTTTTTCGAATTTTAATATTATTAAATTATAATTAATAATGACAATATTTTTCATATTTTAATAACCAAATGTATTTATAATACGCTTTATTGTATATATTAAAATATTACAAACATTAGTTATGTTACAAATTATATAACAAAGGATATTTTCCAAACAAATATTATAATTACTGTTAAAATAATGTTATTTTAAATGAATATTGTTTTATAATAAGTCTGTATTTATAATTTATGTCTGTAATATTGGCGCACATTGTCTAAATAGCTCTCTCTCTCTCTCTCTCTCTCATAATTTAAAATTTATTTAAATAAATAACATAATTAATTACAATATATTTTATACATTATATATTTTTGATATAA